AGAAGTCCGGCTCCAGGTGAATAACTTGTTGTCATGACTGTCCAAAAGTACCTGAACAGCTGAGCCATGGGGGCACACAGTATGTGGCGTATCAGAGGAGAAACTTTAGGGACTGTTCGTTACTTATGAAGGGACTTGTCAGGGGAGGAGGGTGGCTGGTTGATTTTTATTTCATTTATTTATTTCATTTATTTATTTTATTTTGATCCCCCCTATGTTAATCACTTATTGATGCTGTTTTTGAAGTATGAATAAGTCAATAAGTAATTTATTCCTTTGAAATATCATTGATGTATTATAGAAAAGTGATTTATCTTTTTATAAATGACAAAAGGCACATCTGCCTCATTTTTGCCGTGGTATTGTGATACTACTCAGAACTGTGATACTGTTACTGGTATCGTACCGTGGGTCCCAATTCTGGTACCGTGACAACACTATCTCAAACACACACAAACTCTGTGTCTCTGTCTCTCGCTCTCCTAATATGAGATAAAAGAACAACTGAACCCCATTTACCTTAGTGAAAAGGTATTCATTTGAACGGAACCATAAGCCAAAATTCTTTAAACTTATTTTTTTGTTACTATGGAATGCACTTCTTCAGTTGTTTACATAGACAAGTCTAACTTGTTCAGTGCAATCATTTTCTATATATATTTATTTTTTTGAACTTCTGGAATGAACTTTTTCAGTCTGTAATCCCGATGCATGTATTTGCATCAGTTCAAGGGGCCTTTATTTTTATATCAGTAAGTAATGCACCTTATTTAAACTGATGTTTATTTGAGATATCAAATAGTTTTGTTTGATATCTTTTCGAAAATGTTTGAGATGCTTGCCAATAGGTTTTCATTGGAAAAAATAAGTATCTCTTCATTTAAAGAGTCAAAACTGTTTTGGTTTTGTTCATAGTATTGATGTCATGATCTTAGATATAATATATATATACAGTACAGGCCAAAAGTTTGGACACACCTTCTCATTCAATGCGTTTTCTTTATTTTCATGACTATTTACATTGTAGATTCTCACTGAAGGCATCAAAACTATGAATGAACACATGTGGAGTTATGTACTTAACAAAAAAAGGTGAAATAACTGAAAACATGTTTTATATTCTAGTTTCTTCTAAATAGCCACCCTTTGCTCTGATTACTGCTTTGCACACTCTTGGCATTCTCTCCATGAGCTTCAAGAGGTAGTCACCTGAAATGGTTTCCACTTCACAGGTGTGCCTTATCAGGGTTAATTAGTGGAATTTCTTGCTTTATCAATGGGGTTGGGACCATCAGTTGTGTTGTGCAGAAGTCAGGTTAATACACAGCCGACAGCCCTATTGGACAACTGTTAAAATTCATATTATGGCAAGAACCAATCAGCTAACTAAAGAAAAACGAGTGGCCATCATTACTTTAAGAAATGAAGGTCAGTCAGTCCGGAAAATTGCAAAAACTTTAAATGTGTCCCCAAGTGGAGTCGCAAAAACCATCAAGTGCTACAACGAAACTGGCACACATGAGGACCGACCCAGGAAAGGAAGACCAAGAGTCACCTCTGCTTCTGAGGATAAGTTCATCCGAGTCACCAGCCTCAGAAATCGCAAGTTAACAGCAGCTCAGATCAGAGACCAGATGAATGCCACACAGAGTTCTAGCAGCAGACCCATCTCTAGAACAACTGTTAAGAGGAGACTGCGCCAATCAGGCCTTCATGGTCAAATAGCTGCTAGGAAACCACTGCTAAGGAGAGGCAACAAGCAGAAGAGATTTGTTTGGGCCAAGAAACACAAGGAATGGACATTAGTCCAGTGGAAATCTGTGCTTTGGTCTGATGAGTCCAAATTTGAGATCTTTTGTTCCAACCGCCGTGTCTTTGTGAGACGCAGAAAAGGTGAACGGATGGATTCCACATGCCTGGTTCCCACTGTGAAGCATGGAGGAGGAGGTGTGATGGTGTGGGGGTGTTTTGCTGGTGACACTGTTGGGGATTTATTCAAAATTGAAGGCACACTGAACCAGCATGGCTACCACAGCATCCTGCAGCGACATGCCATCCCATCCGGTTTGCGTTTAGTTGGACGATCATTTATTTTTCAACAGGACAATGACCCCAAACACACCTCCAGGCTGTGTAAGGGCTATTTGACCAAGAAGGAGAGTGATGGAGTGCTGCGGCAGATGACCTGGCCTCCACAGTCACCGGACCTGAACCCAATCCAGATGGTTTGGGGTGAGCTGGACCGCAGAGTGAAGGCAAAGGGGCCAACAAGTGCTAAACACCTCTGGGAACTCCTTCAAGACTGTTGGAAAACCATTTCAGGTGACTACCTCTTGAAGCTCATGGAGAGAATGCCAAGAGTGTGCAAAGCAGTAATCAGAGCAAAGGGTGGCTATTTTGAAGAAACTAGAATATAAAACTAGCAGCTATTTGACCATGAAGGCCTGATTGGCGCAGTCTCCTCTTAACAGTTGTTCTAGAGATGGGTCTGCTGCTAGAACTCTGTGTGGCATTCATCTGGTCTCTGATCTGAGCTGCTGTTAACTTGCGATTTCTGAGGCTGGTGACTCGGATGAACTTATCCTCAGAAGCAGAGGTGACTCTTGGTCTTCCTTTCCTGGGTCAGTCCTCATGTGTGCCAGTTTCGTTGTAGCGCTTGATGGTTTTTGCGACTCCACTTGGGGACACATTTAAAGTTTTTGCAATTTTCCGGACTGACTGACCTTCATTTCTTAAAGTAATGATGGCCACTCGTTTTTCTTTAGTTAGCTGATTGGTTCTTGCCATAATATGAATTTTAACAGTTGTCCAATAGGGCTGTCGGCTGTGTATTAACCTGACTTCTGCACAACACAACTGATGGTCCCAACCCCATTGATAAAGCAAGAAATTCCACTAATTAACCCTGATAAGGCACACCTGTGAAGTGGAAACCATTTCAGGTGACTACCTCTTGAAGCTCATGGAGAGAATGCCAAGAGTGTGCAAAGCAGTAATCAGAGCAAAGGGTGGCTATTTTGAAGAAACTAGAATATAAAACATGTTTTCAGTTATTTCACCTTTTTTTGTTAAGTACATAACTCCACATGTGTTCATTCATAGTTTTGATGCCTTCAGTGAGAATCTACAATGTAAATAGTCATGAAAATAAAGAAAACGCATTGAATGAGAAGGTGTGTCCAAACTTTTGGCCTGTACTGTATATATATATATATATATATGTGTGTGTGTTATCGGTTATCAGTTATCGGTATCAGCCTTTAGGAGCTGAAAGTTATCGGTATCGGTTTAAAAGAAAAGTTATCGTGCATCCCTAGGTGCACTACTCTTATGCTAAACTCCTTTTGTCCCTCCGCCTCTCCACTTTTACCAAAATGTAAATAAGGGGCCACCTCTTTTGGTCTTGCCTGACGCTAAATAAGCTTGGTCAGACATTTTAAGTGCTTTTCAGAAGTATGCAACTGCGATGTCACACCAGACCCACACACTGCCATCCTGGGTGGAACCCAACATCTATCAGCTTTATCTCACTTGCAACAAAAGACAATACAATATGGCATGGTGGTGGCAAAAGGGAATATCTTGAGTCTTTGGAAAACTGGGCGGGGGGAGGATTAGCGAAGTTAATCGCTGGGAGGGCAGAGGTCACCAGTGGGCTTGTTGTATTGGCCCATCGATGCGGAAGCAATGCAGAAGAGCCGGGTAATTTTTCACATGGAGGTCAAACTTTTTTGCTTTCATGCACCACTGAGTAACTTTCATTGGAATGAACAACGCCCCACATCCAACACTGTATCCAATTTACATCCGTAATGTCAACAACTCAGCCTTCAGAATATTGGTTATTAATTGTTGAGACTGATTTTGGGAGCTTCATATCACCGATACTTTGTGTGGCCTTGTTTAATCTTTTAAATAAATTTTTAATCTTTTACTACTGTGCCCACGGTAGGGAATAAAGTACATCCAATTGACCTATAACGGGACAGGTCAGGGAAACCTTTAAGCACAGACACTCTTAGACCCTGACTTTGTTACAAAGCAAACCGTGTGATCTAATGATAACTCTACTTTATCCATTTTTCTGCACCCTAACCTGACATGACTGACCAGACGCATGTTTATCTATATATGTGAATAACACCCCTCATAACCCAAACAAGGGCCAAGCCCAATGGAGTAAAGGTAGTATGACTCAAGCTTGTTGTTACTTGTATCTTGAGATAAGAGGATAATTCACTTGTCAAGGGCCATCCACAATTGCTGCTCATACACACACAATGTAAACACCAACTCCAACTACTTGTACCAACCATGATTTATTTATCTTGTCAGATGCAATCTAAAAAGTATTTATGCATCATTGAATGTAGATGCAAAATGAAATTAATAGCTCTTGCTGTCTGATTCAAATTCATGTTTACAGTATGTCTATTTTCTTTATCATTTTGGGCTGAATTTTACAATTAAAACACTATCGCCCACTACTGGATAAATTACAAACTTATTCTTTAAAGATTATATTGGAATGCAACATGAAATATACATTTTGCTGTCGCATTAACTGTAAGTAGTTGAGTGAAACTAGTCAGCTAGTCAATGACTTTACTCTCCTACAAGTGTGTAGGAGACATTACTTTGAGTTGCGACTTGTAGTTAAAGCTGTGAGAATCCGTTTCTCCAATGAAAGGTAAAAAAGTAATGAAGCATGTTACAGCTTAAGCGTCCCTTTAAATATGTGACACACTTCCTCTCCTCTAGTCCCACTTCAACAGCTCCCATTATAACAAGTTAAGATTTCCTTTCGTTTTGCACCGGTGTCAAAAAACTAATACGTACACTTCAGACCCAATGTCACAAATGTGCCAGTCACTACTTGTCCCTGCGCATTATCACCTCACTGCTCATTTATGACTCATGCTGTGACACACAACAATGTAACGTTCATCACTTACCACAGAAACACCCTGGATAAACAGCCGGCGGTGGCCAGCGGGTTGTGTTTCTCTTCTTTCTTACGGATATCCATGACTGTCTGGGAGTTTGTTCATGCGGCAGTCCCGAGCGTCCGCCTCGAGGAGAGACGCACAAGTGTCTTCGCGCACCAGTTTACTCAGACAAGGCATAATTCATTACAGGTATGTGTGTAGTTTGCGGACATCACGGAGATCTGAGACTCCACCAACGCTGCTGCAGCTACTCGGCGTTGAGGTGTCTTTACGTGCTCTTTAAATATGCAGTAATTACTAGCCGGCTACACACCATCCAATAAATTACGGTTAGTCAATGACTCTTTACTTTCCTAGGAGTGTTTGGGGGAAATTACTTTGTATTGAGTTGCAACAGGTGGTTAAAGTTGTGTGATGAAAAGTCAAAAAGTATGTTTTTGGATGAAATGTTTGTTTTTAGGGACTCTTTGTTTCTAGTATTTGCTGTTATTGCCAGTATCTGTTTTCATAGTTTTGTTGCTGAAGATGCTTTTAATATTTAGTGTTCGTTTTTAGAGTTAGTGTCCTTATATTTATTTCTTGAGCTTGCAACTGAGATCTCTGTAAAATGCTTTCTCATTCTGTCCAGCACAACAAAATAATGGCGACATGGCAAAAAAAAGTTGAATTTATTGTCAGCGATGTTGAGTAGATTGATTACAGCTTTTGCCATTTAAAGTCAGTGTTAACATAAATCACATGCTTGCTGTGCATGAAAGTTGGTTATGGCGCTTGATGTCTGACAGCTACCAGTGCACTGTAAATTTAACTCCTTTAGACAGCCATGAATTACATGACACGCTCCAAAATTCTTATGTTTACGAGCAGGCCCTGAAGGCAGCCTCTGCGCAACATGCTTGTGTCACGCCTGTATGTATTCCATGTGGTCATCACGTGGGTTTTCACGAGTGCAGGCACGTTGAATGTGGCCAAACTAAAGTCCTGGCGGCAAAATGGACTAAACCCTAATTGGTTACTTCGATTTGGGTACAGCACATAACAAGAACTTGTGATCTCCTCACAGCATGCTCCTTATCCCTGCAGGAGGATGTGTGCAAGATGTGGTTCTTGGCCCCCTGAGACTACAGTGTGAGGAACTGGAGTCTTTAGTTTTACATCTTGATAGGACCCAGCAGTGTACAGCATGCAGTAATTAGTTATTACATTAGCTAACACCATCAGTTAATAACAGCTCAATAGGAATATTAAACACTCAATGGGCCATCCAGTTTATCCTGTTGATGCAAAACCAGTTTATATTTAATAACACTGGGTTGTTTTCATTAACAAAGAGTTTAAAAAATAAATCACATTAATTTGTCCTGTAAAACATTAGGACAATGCCTTCAAAGGACTTAATACAGGAGATACGTATGAATATTATATTATGACAATTAGTATTTAATTCTGTCATGCTATTAAAAACAAAGGAATGTAGGGTACTTTACTTTTTATTTAGGGTACATTTGCAGTTCCACGAAGTCACCAACAGAGGGAACCAAGAGCCCATTTATGTATGTTAATGCTCTGATAGCAGTCAGTCAAGTCGCCAGTGAAGCCCAATTTGAAAAGTTTCACATAATGTTTTTGCTAAAATTGTTTTTAGATTGTTCTGTGCACGCCTGAGAACACAGAGGGAATGTTTGTAATTGGTCATGATGGGATGGGACCAGTGTCCGTTTAAGCAAATGGGTTTTACAAGATCAGCCAAGGTTTAGCCAACATTGACATTCAACAAACAATCATGAAGGTCTTAGATTTATGTTTTATGCCGGGACAAACCATTTTCAAAGCTCAGCGATACTTGGACACAGCCAACATCAGTTTCTAAACCTTACCTCCAGTGTCTACCTGCAATAGTTCAAAGCTTGACATCATCACCGACCAAGCTGTGCTCTGGAGTACAAGCGTTCCTCAGTCTATCTCTGCTGGCTGTCCATCTGCATGTCAGCAGTCACTGCTGCTTCCTGGGCCCCAGCTGTTGCTGTGTCACATCTTGTTTACACCAGGGGCCACGGCTATGTTTGACCTAGTTGCTGAAAAGCCCAAGAGGCAAAGTCAAAAGCACACTACACATAACACAGACGTGGGGAGGAGGAAAAAGCCATTTTGTGAAACAATTGTTGTTTGGTGTCAATACATTAGGTGTGCTAAACATAATGAGCAAGCATCCGTAACTATGCCAACAACTGACACTGTGAGGAAAGGTGAGGTCAGGTCTTGGCAGGCCAGTGTGAGCGGGGAGCTACAACACTTTGACGGTTTCAAAAAAATGTGTGGTTTTAATTTTGTTTGGTTTTATTGTTTATTCATAAGGGAGCCAATAGTGAAGGACACAAGCCCATATTAAACATGAGCTGAGCTGATTTTGAAAGCGAGGGAAACATCTGTTGGGGATACACAACAAGGTTACCTGACCTCAATCTCTCAGGTCATATCCTTACACTGGCAAATGTATAAATAATCACTTTCCCAAAATGTCAAACTGGTTCTCACAGAGATAGATGTACAGTGCTCGCACACACATACAGCAGGCAGAGCTGGAGGACAGTAGTTGGTGAGGTACAACAGCGTCTTTTAATTCTCATGTGAAGCAGTTTCCATTTAGAGAGAAGGTGTGTGGAGTCCAGCCAAAGAAGAGACCCATTTATCCTCCCAGGTGTGTGAACTCCCACCTTCAATGTCCAACAGATAACGGGCAGTAAGGCAGCGACTGTCACTCGCTGCATGAGTCCTGAGTCACATCCTCCTTCGGCGGTAAACTCAGCAGATCCTGGATCCTTTGCATGTCCTTATTGGTTTCCTCTGTCTGAGTGCTGACATTCAGATCGCCGATCAACTCGTCTGTCAACTGCAGACGAGCCGACCTTGGGATTTGAAAGGAGAGTGACTTGTGAGCAAGACATCAGGATAACAACCAAATTCAAAAGGCATCAAATAATATTAGAAAGGTTTCATAATATATCTCACCATTCTGAGAGTTTGAGCTCGTAAAGCTCCCTGCGCTCTTTCCTCCTCCTCTCTCTGACAGTTTCTCCGGCCACCGACTGCATGCTGATGATCAAAGCACCAGTGGGAATCCTGAGCAGAAGTTAGCTTATGTTATGACAAGTAAAACAAAAACTACACTTTATACTTCTGTTGTCTGAGCACGGTTGTTACTACTTGCACAACTACAGGTAGAAATATCAACAGTGTAACGTATGAAACCATTTCTGTTGACACTTTACTGAACACATCAACACTGGGGAAACTGGGTATGATTAAGATTCCTGAAAAAACTTCCTGCTATTGTATAATCTGTTTTGTATAATCTGTTTTGTAACAAACCTAGCCGTCACATTATGTTCTGTCAAAGCAGCTACTTTAATTGCATAACCCTTCCAAGCTGTCTGTCACTTGCACCATATTAATACTTTTGTCAAATTTCCTCTCCGCAGTGTCTTACAAAGTCTCGCCCTCCTCTACAGTCCCTCCGGCCCAACCTAGAAGTTACAGTCACACCTCTGCCATGTTCCCGGACAAGAGGATCATTCTGGGGTGAGATCTGGAGCGTGATGTGCTTTCCGATTAGCTGCCTGCTTTCATTTCGCTCCCTTCTGCCCCGACTGCACCTGGCATAGCCAGGGCCGGGCCTGTTTGCACACATCAAATGCTCCAGGTGGCTGGTCACTCAGGCAGACAGTGAGGAGAGGAGAGAAGGAGGAGAAGGAGGCAATGCTAGTATGGAGCCAACAGGAGAACAGACTAGGGCTGAGCCAACACGGAGCTGATGATCACAGAGACAATCCAAACCAGCCCCTCCAGTCTGTTACACCATCAAACACCTCACACTCAATCACCATTACACAATCAAATTCAAATCTGCTCTTGGCTCCGTGCGCTCAGCTGGAAGTGGCCAGAGGAGCGAGTGAAAAGTGGGACAGGGGGAGAAGAGAGGGTGGAGGAGAGAGAGGAGATGGAGTGAAGCATAAGTCCAGATCAGACCATGGTAGATGGAGATGAGAGGCTGGAATAACAGAGATGGTATAAATGGAGAAGGGCAGCTGCTGCCTTGGCCTGCCTCCTTGCTCTAGTACCCAAAACATGGCCCTCTGCAGTGCACATGAGTCCCTCTGGCACTGTGAACAGAGTTGGAGGTGGGGGGTAGGGGGTGGGAGGAGGTTCAGCTGGGTGACAGAGGGTTGCTGGGAGGGGCGCAGCTGGCTGCCAGAGTGCTCACTGCTCTGCAGCACACGGCCATGAACAGGGACACGCACACAAGCATGAGCAAATACGCATGTCTGTTAAAAAATAAATGCATGACAGCTTCTGACAATGTAACTCAGGTCTGTGATGAGGATTGAAATGCGTCAACAAGTTGAACTGTTAAACTACTGGGGTGATCAATGGATCTGTGTGGACATGTGTGGAAGCAGAAAACAAGCTCACCCCATCACTACTCCGATGATTGTCCCTGCCACCAGCCCTCGCAGGCCCAGGTTTAGTCTGAAAAGGCCTCCAGTCACAGCTGCTCACACACACACACGCACTTTTATTATTATCATTCATAACTCAATGTGCTGGTATATGATGTCTGTGTTTAAACAATTTGTCATCAGGTCAAATGAGGATTATAAACATTTCATAACTATTATCAGCACCAGAAATTTTACTACTAACTCTGAACTTTTTGGGAGGTGAACAACCAGTGGTGTCCAGGCAGAACACAAACATAATTACTGTCTGACATAAAATCACATTTTCTGGACAGTGAAATTTCAGATTAATCTTTTTTATTAAATATTTTATGGCCATTGTTGTTATGCACTGTTTAGACAGCTGTAGCAGAGAGATGACAGGAAATGGAGTTGGAGAGACAAGGGAATGGCACGCAACAAAGCCCCTCGGCCACAGGTGAACTGAGGACATTGTGGCTCATGGTCTGTGTCCTTACCCCCTCAGTGCCACAGGAATCTGGTTTTCTAGGAATGATGTGTGACTGCTTTGCACAAAATAAATATTAGAGGGATCGATTGGTGTCTGTCTGCTCTGGGGGTCAACAGGGTCCAGTGTGCAGGGTCAATGAGGTCGCAGTGGATTCATTCAAAAAGCTTGGAATTATATTAGAATAACATTTACATATTCACAAGTAATCATTTTACTATATTCTTTTGTGAACTTAAATGACATTCTGTGGTTTTGACTACATGATGAATGCGTTTGTATGGAAACAGGATAACAAAAGCATATATTATAAAGTGTTGGTATCAATTAAAATCTTTTTTTTAAAACATAAACACAGCATCAGTGCAACACATAAAACTGCAGGCCGACAGTACACAGCAACAACAGGAGTGAACTGTGGAGCTGCTCTAGGGCCTGTTGTTCGAAAGTAGAATTAACCAATCCAGGATAAGTTGAAAAGCGAGGCAGGACAAATTCCCCTAAATCCATCCTGGCTTAACTGGTTGTTCGAACACCAAGCCAGGCTGAGGAGGCTCGGCTTTGTCAAGCCAGGTGTAACTTATTCAGGTGAGTGCGCGTCCACGGCTTTCTTAAATAGACCCCGAGATCGATCACAGATTCACCGATGCAGCAATGGAGAGGGCACGTGCCGCATACTTCTCACCCAGTGAGCAGCGTCTCATCATGGACTCTTATGAAGAGGTGAAACATATAATCACGAAGAAAGGAAACACTGCAGTGATAATAAAGCAGAGAGAGAGCGCGTGGCAAACAACTGTATAATCTAAAATATACACTTGCGGCGCAAATGAATCTGTCATAATTACAATTAAAGTTCCTTCCACAAATTAACAGTTTTACACTTCGCCTTAAAGGTGAGCAGTGGAAGTTAAGCAACTGCTGATTTCACACCAGCAGAAAAGCTCGCCCTGGATCAGAACAGAGGCAGGCCGATGATGGAGGACGGAGGGGGGGAACCGCCCTCTTCATACAAGTTACATTATTCCAGTATACTGTACATGGAATCAATCATTTTATTTATTCATTAATCAACCATTGGTGTTATGTGGACTGTCTGACTTTGGGTTGTCATGCAGTGTAATACAAATTGACAAATTAAAAGAAAAACCTTAAGGAAATTGGACTTAGAAATTAAGAAACTAGAGAAAGAAGTAAGTGATTTTAATGCACATTGTAAGCATGACTGTGATGCAATGTATTAATCAATATTATTTCTCTCTTTCTCTCCACAGCTCAAAGCAGACAGTGACTGATTACAGCATTTTTTTCATTTAAATAAAATGAGGTCAAAGAATATTGTGGTTTCATCTTCATGTTTTCATTCATTGATGTAAAGTACACTGGAGTTATTGGTCCAGTTAACTGGGAATATAATTTGGGAAGGTCATACAGTTATGATACCTAATAACCACTAATTGTGTTAATGCCAAATACACCTACTTGTATGTTTATTCCAACAATTAATCCTTTTATTGGTAAAGATATGTGCATGTCAAAGTATGTTTGGGCTATGACAAAAATAATGTTTTAAATGTTAATTTTTTTTATTTTTTTTTATTATTGTAGGCTTAATGTATTTTGTTCAAAAATGTGCTCAGCTGACTGTACAGATAAGCCACCAGGTTAAACTAAGCCTGGTTGGTGCACAGAATAAATATCCATGGCAACATATGTGCCTTTGCTTTCGAACAACCGAATCAGCGCTAAGTTAAACCAGGATAACCAACATATCCCGGCTTAATCCCTTATCTAGGTTTCGAAAAACAGGCCCCTGGACAAACACTGAGTTTGGATAACACAACTCCCTGACAGAAATGTGTGAATGTGAGCAGTGTTGTTGTGACACAGCAAGTGCACTCAGTCAGCTTTCCTGGGCAAATAAAGGTTTAAAAAGAGGTCTGATCAGGCCCCGTTGATGCCAATGTGACTCACCTCCAGCTGCAGCATAATGGCTGAGGGCATACTTGTCTCGGTACACAGATAGCCCTGTGCTGACAGAACTAGAGAGGAAAGGGAACAGATAGACACACGAGTAACAGACGGTTAGACTTGCCTTGTTTTTCTCATACATGTTCCCTTAAAGCACTTTGAATCACCTTGTTATTTAAAGGTGCTGTACAAAAACATGCTTTGCCTTGACTTCAGCTGAGCTTAGTTTACAGAGAAATTGCTGAATCAAATGCAACTTATCTGTCGGCGTTAAATGCCTCCTTTGTAAGAAGTTCCTTACATGGAGTAAAATATTTTCATGTTCATTGTCTAAGATGAAAAGATCAGAAAAGACAAGATAATCATTATTTGCTTACTTGAATAGGGTGACAAAAGCAGCCACTCTCCAGCTCCACCTCCATCCATACCTCACAAAGCCCCGGACTGCTGCATTATGGGCTGAGCGCTGAATTAGACACAAAGGACACACAATAATAAGGTTACTGCTGTGGGATTACCATGAGGCCAAAACATTGCAGTTAATATCATCTATTAAAAAGGTTCCCAGGAGTGCAGTCAGTTTCTACTGGAACTTAATCAGCAATTGTTGCAATAAGTGTCACAATTTACAGCACAACACTAACTGATCAGTGGAAAAAGAGATGAGTGGTTGCGCTACACTCAAATGTAGATCATGTGTTGGGTACTCCTGGAAAACTGGGGAAGAGCAGGATAAAGAAGAAGACAATGCAGGCACTCCAAAAATAATAACAACAATAAGAAAAACAAGAAGAAGGAGAACAAGGTGAAGAAGAAGAAAGAGAGAAGGAAGGAGGTGGTCATGGACTGAGCTACTTTCTGCCACTTGCCCACTTACCACTGCATCCACTCTGCTGGTGTAGATTTCCGCCTGGCTGACTTGGATATACCTCTGCTTGGCTTGGAAAGCTGCTGGCAGGCCTCCGTAGAGCAAGCCTGCAAGTGCACCAACTAACCCGCTCTTTACCACGTTGGTCAGCTCCTCTGGGTACCTCTGTGTTGCACTGCAGGGAGCCAAGAGCCACATTTTCTTTTGAGGACATAGTCAATGCCAATTATTCCTCATCTTTAGACACAACTGAAACTGCAGTGTCAGAAAGGTAACTGCTAAAAAGACCTAAAGAAGTTATTCAAACTTTAAATGAGGAGGCAAGAAAACTAACTAAAAACCTGTCCGAGAAACACAGCAGTGAGCATGCGGCGATTATTAAGCACATAAATGCTGTAGCTGGTAACTTTAATGAAAAATGTTAGAGGGAAGCATAATATGAATAAAACTGAGAAAACTCCTGCACAGTCACTATTTTCTGACATTCTCTGTCACAAAGTGAGTTCAAAAGTAAGAGAAGAAGAAAAGTAAAGAGGAAACTGAAATACCAACTCTATGTCAAAGAGGTCCTTGATACGGTCCCATCCTGTGTCTGGGAATTCTGGCTTGCCTATGATTCTTGGCATGGTGCTGGAAGAGGGGATGGGTGCAGGAGCAGGACTGGTGGAGGAGGAGGGAGAGGGCATCTGTGCAGGCTGGGCAGCAGCCACATCAGCTGCATGGACCCTGGGGAGCAGGAAGCAGAAGGAAGGAGGCCTGGCACTCTGGATGAGGCCCTGCAGTAGGCCGGTGCTTAACGTGCCCCGAGGGGCTGAATCTGCCTGTCGTCTCTGCAGGGCGAAGCCCGTTCTGGGCTGCTCTGGATGCATCACGCTTCAGCTGGCATTGGGCTGCAGCAGAGAGGCAGAAACACATGGCCATGGGTTGGGATGTTGCACTCTCTGCCTCGACTTAAGCTCCATCCTCAAAATAAACAGCCTTAAGGCAAATGAAATCCTGGCAGGGCTACACAGGCTGTTCAGCTCAGCAGCTGTTAAATGGTGCAGTCCTATCAAAACACACTGGGCACACAAGCAGACTTTCTGGGGAAAGATTTCTTTATTGACTTCAAAGTGCGTCACTGATGTTTCAACGAGCTGCTGGGAGTCAGGTCCTCTGAGCAGGGTGTGCTGACTGGTCCAGGGTCAAAGAGAAATACATAAGGTCAAAGAATCTTTACAAAGTTATCTTGTGACTTGGGAAATGCCACCCAATAATGATTTCTGTCTTCTGTGGTAAGAAATTACATAAAAAGTAACAATTTTCAGGGTTTTTTTGTTAAGAAAGAAGTGAACGTAAAATGAGTAACACCTTTTCAAATCCATATTTTGTTCCATAGCTTTTTAATTTGCACACATCCTGCTTTGTGTCCTTCTTTGTTGATTCATAAAGTGAGGGCCCCTTAAAATGTAATGTACCCAAAAGGTGATAACCGACCTAAAATAGATTAACGTGACGTTTCTGTTTGTCAACTTCAAACAGCATTAAAATACACTGAGCGATTAACTCTGCTATGTTAGAAAATTAGCATATTTTCGACTGTTAACTTGAAATGGGCGTTTGCCGATACCTGTATCATCTTATAAAATACATTTCTTATTGATGATATATTTGGAATATCAGTAACTAATGAAAATAAAGTCACCTGCAGCCAAGCTGATGTTAATAGGCGTCCTGCACAGCGTCTGTTCACTTGGTGACTTTTCCCCTAATTAGTTTGATACTGTACACCTGTGTCAGGTCTCACTTTACACTGCTGCTAGCTCGGCTAGCACTCACACATTTCTGTAATACAAATACCTTACTACCTAACATTATAATTGTCCATTGCGTGTAAAATGAAGGCTTTAATTGCAATTGTCTGGTTATATATTTTTGTTGTCAAAAAACTAACCGTTATGTTAAATCATGTCTGTCCGATAATGGGAGCTGTAGCGTTAGCATGTAGCCTGCTATTAGCTTCTGTCATATCTGTGATTTAAAGGAGCAGCTTACCAGCAAGCGGCGCAGAATTTCTCTACAGTTAACCGTTTTTTTATGAAGCACAGTAGCCCTTGTTAAGACTCATTAATTCTAGTTGGTGTCCATATTTCTGTTTTTCATAATTGTCCTTTTGCTGTTTGTTTCTACACAGTGACTTTCCGACGAGCAGCCGGTTGCTCCGACCTCTGACCCCGCCCACAGCGACACTCACCAGATGTGAACACAGCGCCCCTGCCAGTGGAGGACTGAACAGCACGCTGCAAGATAAGGATGTTTCAAGAGACAAACTTTTTATTGACACAAAAACAAAATGCTGCACAAGCCACAACAACCTGGATGTTACACTCTGACCAGGCGCAGCATCACAGCTTTTTGGTCAATTCAACTCATATTCAATTCATACTAATGGACCAGCTTTTTTTATTACCACAGTTCTTTACAATAGTGTAAAAAATAATCTTACATCAGTGAGAATCTCGTTGTTCACAGCACAATGTGAATACTACAACATATTCAACATTATCCTGCATCAACTTTACATCATCTATCACCTGTCAACATTAGACACATTCTTTTCAAGAGGTAAAAACCATTAAGAGTGTTTTTCTTTTTAGGAAACTCTGCACATGAAATATTTACTCTGTTATTATTGCTAACTGTTGGCACTTAGTGTGGAATGAAGTGGTGGCTCTGAATGACTCTTTTGTGCTTTCAAGTTATCAGAGGTATGGCAGAACCCATCCAAATGCAGACACTGACAAGTAAATCAAACAGTACATGGACATGTTGCAATGACATTTGGTGAAGGGCTACTGGAGTTCCTTCAGTTGTCCAGTAGAGGGTAGCAAAGCTCCTGTGTAAGGCTCCCCATTACTTTGATTTCCATTGATAAATTGAGTAAATATCAGGGTGCTTGGGTAGAATATCTCCCATATTTTCTTCATACAAAAAACCCAGATCAAGATATTGCAAACAAGTGTTCCATGTGGTGCACTGTTTCCGGGAAGCCTTACAGTACAATTGGCTGCATTGCAAATGTAACAACATGGCATTTGTGATTAATATTATTGGCACATCTTGCATGGATATTTGAGCACCAGTTGAAAGTCAACCTCACACTTCAAGTACCTAAAAGCTGAGTTTTAGTTGCTTCACAGCTGAAAGGGCAATATCTTCATTAGATTTTGGTGAGTGGTCGCCAGGCCAGATTTAAGTTGAGCAAGGCACTGAACTTCTCACATTTAGTCCTCGCACGTCACTAGGGGTAACCAAGTTGATGCTCAAATACAAATTCAAAACAAAAAATAGTTACACTTTTAAGCAGCTTTCTGCAAGTAGTCTGATTCTCATGAAAATCTGTCTTAAGCCCAGTTATTCGTGATTAATGTTACAAAACAACATAAAGTCTTTACAAAACATGTTTAAGGGTCAATCCAACAATTCATGAGACAGATTTTTTTGTTTTTAAAAAAGTCAGATGATATTTCATTTGACACTCCCTACCATATTATTCAAACACCACAGCCCCAGTTAAGATGTAGCTTTTCCTAAAAAGAAAAGTGTAGTCTCCAAGCCGAAGACAAAATAACCCCAATGATATCACTAGTCATTTTCTGTCCCTTCAGAGCCACAGAAGACATCATACTCCTTTTTTTAGGGGCTGAAGAGTATTTGTCATGATGAGCAAACTGAACTTGATGAAGTCTTAAAACACAGCTAACATATAGTAGATGTTACTTTGATTGAGTGTAGACAGCAGCCATAAAAACTGATCCACTAAATGAACCAGAGTGATAAATGACTAAGAGTTGGCATGTAAGACATCTAGTGGCACCTGAAGGTATGGCAGCATCCACAGTCAACATACTAAACTATACTTTTGACTGTGGAATACCAAGCTTTGTGCCCTGTAACAGTAACACATGGTTCAACTGTGCTGCACTTGAGACTAAAACACTGGACTCAACGGACATAAATGTGAGAACTACCTGGACAAAGCTTTTGACTTTAGATGAGCTTTTGCCAAAACTAACATGTAACATTGAAGAAAATACTACGTAGTACTGCAGTGATTACATTCATTATCTAGAGTTTCCCTTCACTACAGGTGCCCTGGTCCTGCAGAGTCTCACGCTTATAGCTCCGTCTTGCTAGGTCTGTGGACAACCTGGTTGTAGTTACTCTTTCTTTTGGGTTTGTAGGTGAGAAGACGGCTGAACTCAGTGAGGAGTCTCCTCCAGTAGCAGGACACATCTTGCATCCGCAGGTGGTCGAGGATGAATTCTTTACCCCTGTGGGCAAGGAGAGAAACGTCAGTTCTGTTGGGATGAGAAATGGACAGTGTGTAACTTTTGTATGATCCGCTACCTTGTGGCAATCTCCTGTGCAATGTCATCATTCTCTTTGACAAACTGCAGGAGTTCCCTGAGGAGACAGAACATGTAAAGACATATCAACATTTAGCACACATACAGACAAAGTTCAGACCAAAGTATATTAGAATTTACACCCTGAAAACCTGAACACACCTGATTGAAGTGCCAACATTCATAATCATAACACTATAAAAGAGCGTTTTTTGTAAATATCAAATGAAAGCAGATTCACAATGTGTGAGGGGATACATGTGGACTTGTTGTACCTGACATCAGAGAGATCCTGCTGGACTGGGATGTAGTGGACCCAGGGCTGGAGCTGAGGGTAGAAAAACTCCTGCCATTCATCCCCCACATGAAACACCAGGGAACCACAGAGGAAGAGGTGTTTGAGGCGGAAACTGGCTGCCACACCTCGGAAGTTGAATAAATATCTGCAAGTGTAGGGAGGGACTGTTAAAACTGGTCACAACACCAGGGGCGGAGACACTATTTCAGAAGTGAGGGGGACAAATTGAGGTCTATTGAGTGATTTATCATCCAAGTTCAGTAAAACACCATTCCTGTTAGCAAGTTATTAGCTTACAAAATGGAAGTGACAAGGTAACAGGGTAATAAGCCACATAATTTAAGACAGACATAGACATAACATAAGCCCGGTCTCTGTCCTGACACATGGCCTTGTCCCTGTGCTACCTATTGCAATACAGACAAAAAACATTTTAGAGTAGTTCTGAAATAGCTGTGAAAATTAATCTTAGAGTCACTCTTATCCTATAGACATTTCCTTAGCCAGTTATAATTTCTCCTTATCTGTGAAGCCGTGGGCTGGTAATTGGTGCTGCTGTCAGGTCCCTGTCCTGATACCTGCCTGGTTTCTCCCTGTCCCTCTTCTATCTATTGCAATAATATAGATAATAAATGTGCAAAGCAAAATTTAGAAATATAATTAAGAATAGTAGTGGTGACACATGTGTGGAAATTACTTGCAAAGTCACTTTTATGCTATAGATATCTTCTCTCAGCCAGTTATAATCTCTCCTCACCTGTGAAGACCATGCATGATCATCCTTGCTGGCCTCTGGTCCACTGTCTCCTCCCTGACCCTGCTCTTTATATTGTGGCAATAAAGATTTTTTAAAAATATGTGGAAAGCAATAGTGAGCACAAGTTCTGCACAGAAATTAAGGAGAAGTGGGTTTATTCCTAGCATGAAACTAGCTAGCAAGCAATTTAACATAGGTAACAATAACATTAGTATTCTTGTTAACTAGCTTAACTTGATACTGGCATCTAATAATTAGCCATCATTTAGCTAACATTATCTACATGCAAGAAACTACAAGAAACTGTGCAAGGTTTTTTGCTTCTTGCTGGTTGTTTTGCTTAACATACAGTACAGTCCAAAAGTTTGGACACACCTTCTCATTCAATGCGTTTTCTTTATTTTCATGACTATTTACATTGTAGATTCTCACTGAAGGCATCAAAACTATGAATGAACACATGTGGAGTTATGTACTTAACAAAAAAAGGTGAAATAACTGAAAACATGTTTTATATTCTAGTTTCTTCAAAATAGCCACCCTTTGCTCTGATTACTGCTTTGCACACTCTTGGCATTCTCTCCATGAGCTTCAAGAGGTAGTCACCTGAAATGGTTTCCACTTCACAGGTGTGCCTTATCAGGGTTAATTAGTGGAATTTCTTGCTTTATCAATGGGGTTGGGACCATCAGTTGTGTTGTGCAGAAGTCAGGTTAATACACAGCCGACAGCCCTATTGGACAACTGTTAAAATTCATATTATGGCAAGAACCAATCAGCTAACTAAAGAAAAACGAGTGGCCATCATTACTTTAAGAAATGAAGGTCAGTCCAGTCCGGAAAATTGCAAAAACTTTAAATGTGTCCCCAAGTGGAGTCGCAAAAACCATCAAGCTCTACAACGAAACTGGCACACATGAGGACTGACCCAGGAAAGGAAGACCAAGAGTCACCTCTGCTTCTGAGGATAAGTTCATCCGAGTCACCAGCCTCAGAAATCGCAAGTTAACAGCAGCTCAGATCAGAGACCAGATGAATGCCACACAGAGTTCTAGCAGCAGACCCATCTCTAGAACAACTGTTAAGAGGAGACTGCGCGAATCAGGCCTTCATGGTCAAATAGCTGCTAGGAAACCACTGCTAAGGAGAGGCAACAAGCAGAAGAGATTTGTTTGGGCCAAGAAACACAAGGAATGGACATTAGACCAGTGGAAATCTGTGCTTTGGTCTGATGAGTCCAAATTTGAGATCTTTGGTTCCAACCGCCGTGTCTTTGTGAGACGCAGAAAAGGTGAACGGATGGATTCCACATGCCTGGTTCCCACTGTGAAGCATGGAGGAGGAGGTGTGATGGTGTGGGGGTGTTTTGCTGGTGACACTGTTGGGGATTTATTCAAAATTGAAGGCACACTGAACCAGCATGGCTACCACAGCATCCTGCAGTGACATGCCATCCCATCCGGTTTGCGTTTAGTTGGACTATCATTTATTTTTCAACAGGACAATGACCCCAAACACACCTCCAGGCTGTGTAAGGGCTATTTGACCAAGAAGGAGAGTGATGGAGTGCTGCGGCAGATGACCTGGCCTCCACAGTCACCGGACCTGAACCCAATCCAGATGGTTTGGGGTGAGCTGGACCGCAGAGTGAAGGCAAAGGGGCCAACAAGTGCTAAACACCTCTGGGAACTCCTTCAAGACTGTTGGAAAACCATTTCAGGTGACTACCTCTTGAAGCTCATGGAGAGGATGCCAAGAGTGTGCAAAGCAGTAATCAGAGCAAAGGGTGGCTATTTTGAAGAAACTAGAATATAAAACATGTTTTCAGTTATTTCACCTTTTTTTGTTAAGTACATAACTCCACATGTTTTCATTCATAGTTTTGATGCCTTCAGTGAGAATCTACAATGTAAATAGTCATGAAAATAAAGAAAACGCATTGAATGAGAAGGTGTGTCCAAACTTTTGGCCTGTACTGTAGTTAACACACAGCAGCACTGCCCAGCAGCACACGTCTCGTCTGTGTGATAGTGTTGTGTCGTTCGCAAACGAATCATTCAAAAGAACAAATCTGTTGAGTGAACGTACTGAATTGAATCACTTCCGGAACTGATTCGTTCATTTCTCAGTTCAGTTGAGCTCAGCAGCCAGGGTGCAGGGAGGGACTGCCTACCATGTGACGAATCACTCAGTGAACAAATCAATCGGTGAACAAATCACTCAGTGAACGACGTAACCCCGATCCCTGAGGGATTCAAATAATTTCTTCTCAGCGATACACTTTCATAGGGAACTGTTTTCTCCAAGCTAACAGCTAATGTAGCCAGGAGTCAAGCCACATGAACACGATCACACACCTCCCCATCGTTTTAACAGACTTAGTTTCCAGATAAACAAACTTAAAACGTTTGGTTGGCCAGTAATGAGACTCACCAGTGCAGGGCAGGCGCAGCAGCAGCAACGGAGAGAGACTGAGTTGGACTACGCAGTACACAGTCAGGGCTCCTCCCGCCAAGCACTGAACAATTCAGAGTCTTTTAAACGAATCTTTTTAATGAACTGATTCCAGTGATTCAGTAACATCTAAAGAACTGCTTTGCCCATCACTACTGTGCCATTGATTCAGATCACAACACGACATGCAAGCATGTGCATGCTGCCTGGCGCCGCCTACTCATGGTGCGCTTAAAGATGGCTTGGAAAAACACGTTACCACATGTTAAAAACAACTTGAACTGTTATAACGGCTGTAAAAAGTACGAGGGACATGTCCCACGCGTACCCCGCGTCCGCTACGCCCATGCACAACACATTTAGTGAAGCTGTTGCCATCTAACAAGCTGCCATATTAAAAGTCACACTTTGTCCCAGAGCCAAAAATCCAGCTTACTTGTATTTGCAGTGATCGACCAGGGGGATTTCTTTGGCTGGGGGTCTCCCTAGTGTGTCCTGAAATACACAGAAAAACACAGGTTGGTAAACAAGTAACACAGACTGACTTTGAGATTTCCTCTTTGAGTCTAAATAAAAGAAAAGTCACAGGAGTGTTATCAAAAGTCAGTGTGGTGTGTTACTTTGTCAAACTGTCTTCATGCTTTAAAGGAGCTGTGTGTGACCGTCAGAACAGATCTGTGATTTTTAGCTATGGCAATTTCGGGGCTGTTTCGAGTTCTCTTTAACAGAAAGGACTATCTCTATGGAGATACTTTTCATGAGCTGTCAAAAACTTAGAATAGCTATTAGAGCTTAGTTTCTCTGCCCAAGCCCGAGCCTGGCCCACGGGCCCAAGCCAGGCCGGGACCCCCCACCCCTCTGACGGGCCCAGGCCGGGCCGGTCAGATATGAGAGAGAGAGAGAGAGAGAAAGAGAGAGATGGCTGGAGGGGTGGCTAGAGACAGGGGGGGTGGTAGAGATAAGTGGGAGGGACAGCGGCTTTCCGTGCCTCCAAAAAATATGCCCTGTTCATTTAGTGCTTACCCAACACGCTCAATACATGGACATGCAATGACAAATTGTCATTAACTTATTACGTTATAAAAAACGATGAAAATATGGACTTACCCATGTTTAAAATGACCTGTTGAATTGAAAAAACGAGTACTGACGGGAACAGACAAGTGGAGTCGATGTTTAACCGGCGCGGAGAGCACAGGAGAAATGCGCTGCCTGTGTGGACAGTCAAGCGGCTGCGAGTACACTCGCAGGACTTCCGCAGCACTAATGCGCTTGGTGTGTCCTTAGCGTTAATTATAACAGCCAACTTATTGAAAAATGTCGGGTTTAAATCGGGCTTGGGCCCATAATTACAGTTAATTGGACGGGCCGGGCCCGGACATAACGTGCACAGGCTCGGGCCGGGTCGGGCTGAATTTTTTGGGCCCGATCTAAGCTCTAATAGCTATACAGCACTGAAGCTCAACACTGGACCAATTTCGAACATTACTGCTTCCATTAGTCACTTAGAAACAAAAATAATCATTATGAATGGATTTAACTCTGATGTGGTTTCAGTATGACTGACCCTCTCAGACTTCCAGGCCTGGTTTTTTGTGTACTCTGCATCCACCAGCTCTGGAGCTTCTCTGGACAAAAGAATCAGAGGGTCGCGTTCTGGACTGGTTCTATTGAAGAAACAGAGAAAAGAGTGACGAAACAGTCATCTTATAATTCGTCTGAACTTTGCAGTCAACTGTGGTGAGAAGACAGCTGACAAAAGAGTTACTACCAAAGAAAACGTGACAATAATTGTCACGAAAACAACTGTATTGTTATATAATGTCACATAATTACACAAACTAATAAAGTAACAGGACTGGCAGACTGACCTGGAGCCTCTGAAAAATCCTCTGGACTCTTTCTGTTTCCATGGCCACTGTGCTGCAGACCTACCACAATACATCGTATGGATAAGGCACACCTAAATTATATACTTCATAAGCTACATCTGCAAATACAATCATTTAAGAGTTCCATTGACCAATATCTTATTTTGTGAATACTAAATGAATGATTCACGCCACTAAATTAGAATATAAAAAGGTGCTAAACCTTACTTTTTAAGGTCATCCCTCATTAGATCCCATCTACCCAGTCCAGTGGGGTATATGGGCCACACAGCAGGCCCTCCCTCCCAAAACGTCCATGCAGGGTACATGATGTCCTGATAGTCTGCCGTCTACTTAAATCAAACATGACACATGTACAAACCAGTTATTGCGTTCAATAAATATTTGTGTGTTTTTAAGTGTGCACAAAACAAATGCACAAAGTCTGACCTTACTGAAAGAGAAGACAGGCAGGGTTGGCTGCATCCAGCTGGGGACTTGAGGGTAATCCCTGACATTTACCACCATTTCCATGTCAGGTAACCTGTCAATCACCTCCAAGATGAAATGCTCCACCCCACTGCACCTGAAAAGTGAAAGATGGATTTAGGCAGAGCAAACAAACAGCTGTATACAGATGTATAATAAAACACATCAGGTACCTCCTTACCTGGCAGGAAACATACAGTTGTGTTCTCTGTACAACTTGTGTCCGATGATCTGATAGTGGGTGCCCACCCCTCTCTGAACAGTTGCAGCCATGAGATCCTCAGAGATTCTGCCTTTAAAGGGCCGCAAGTCATCTTGTAGGACACTGGGACAGAAAGTGTGGCAGAGGAGAGGGAACAGAAAAATGATCAAGTCCACATTCAAAAATTAAACCTGCACAAAGGTGGTGCAGCAACTATCCATCCACAATACATGCGGATACATACAGACACGTTGGCATCGCACTCACCTTAGATGGCAGCTACAGTTGACTGGGTTGCATGGAGTGTGCCCTTTAACAGCATCAGAAATCGTGTCTCTAATGTTCTTCCACTGTTGACCTAAAAGTGGCAAATGGTGTCAGATTAGATTGTCACGTTGGACCAATCCAAGCATCTACCGATGGGTCACGAGACTGATTCATCCAGTTAGGGAACGGAGGGCATATTGGGTCAGTATCAGGTCAGTATCCCCAATGAGGCTGACTCTAACAAGGCTAGTGGGTCAGGGGGGAGTTTCAGTGTCCTAGAGGGACCTCAAATATCCTGCTTTCATCACTGACTTTATTTACTGTTCCACACAGTACATCATGACCTCATGTTACAACTGTAGCGTAAATATACTGTGTCTTTATCTGTCAGGGCAGCCAGCCAGAACATCTATTAAGGCTAACTAGCTTTAGCCGACCTGTTGCCAAAATCACGCCCAGCCTCATAGAATATATCTTAATTAATATGAAACTTATTTTACAATGTTACTGTAAGCGAAACGTCTCTTCATCCGAACCTTAAAGTTAGCACAGTTAGCTTCGCTGAGTTAGCTCGCAGGCTAACGTTTGTTAGCTAGCTCGTGAATTGATGAATGACTCCAACATCAAAAGTTACCTCAAGTTGGCATAGCGAAACAAAACGCGACAAACTCTTATTACCACTTTTAAACATTGTTTCATGAGTCATATTTGTTCAAATATGTTATTACCTGACGCGGGAACCAAACATAAAACATAAACTTGCAGCAGTATTAAAAATCTCCACAGCCAAGAGCGCTTCATTTTCTCTCTATCCTCCAGCACTGTCTGAGGAGGAGAAACAAAGCGGGATCTGTGATCTGTTACTTCTGCCTGAACACAGCCATTACGGTAATGCGCACAACGAAAATCTATGGGTTATGTTACCGTAATGTTCAGAAAACTTGACCAGAATATTTCTAAAATCACATGCTCTCAAATGAACAGAACTGGTGGACTTTAAAGCTGTACAGTTATTGTATAAAATAAAAAATAAGATGCTTCCAGACTTTATCCAGAAGTTCCATATTAGAGTGACAAAAACAAACATTAGTAGGCTACAAATTCAAAACAAAGATGCATAAGTGTAATAGTTCTAAAAAAGTAATGAAAATGTGTAATACATTTAATAGATTTTACAAATATATGTAAAAAACAAGATGACTGACAAATATTAAACTAAGTTATGAACACTAGTACATGGATCTTTGTTTGGGACTTCTAGGTAAAGATACTATACATATATTTTGTTTGTTTCTTTCTTTTACTTTCATTGTACTAATCTAAAGGGAACAGTATAAACATATACTGTAAAAAGGTAAGGTTTTAGCCCACATGTTTGGAGCAGCAAAACTTCCTTTGCTTTGTATCATCACTGCTTCAATGTAATTACTCATTTTTGTTTCTTTATTATTTGTCCTTCTACATAATTGAGTTTAATAGCTTATAAAATGACCAGAATCAACTACACTAAAGTTATTTAAAGGATACGCTTCACAAAACCTGCCTTTTCATAGTCACATTCACAGCTTGCCTGTCTCAATAAATAAATTCCTCCTTTATTTTATAGCATGAGATTTCATTTTCCAGTGCATATATTACTATAATCATTGTTGATTAAATGGCTGATGAATCCCCTGTAGTTTCTTTGTTCTAATTTCTGAATTTATGTCAAGGGCATGGATGAGTATCACATGGATGATTGTCTATGAATTGTTGAGGTGAGTTTCTGAGTCAGGGAGAGAAACGGAAGAAAGGACGAGACCCTCTGGGAGATTTGGGGCTGTAAGACTGAGTGACGGAGGGAGGAGGAGACAGAAGACAGGTGGAGGGAGAGATACAGACAGAAGCAGAGCAAGAGAGAGGAATTGGGGCAGAGTATTTGTGAGAATATTTCATATTTATTACGAGAGAGGTAATAGAGAGCAAATTTGTAGATTAATCTGAGCAACTCTACATTGATATTGATTGTACTCTTCAAGTTAGGACTTCTTTGATTTCTCTGAAAACTTCATTCTGGTTTGCAAACACCTCCACAACCCGGCAACAATGCAGCAAATCTGTCTTTCTCTGCTGTCTGGCCTTTGCCTTCACCTGGTTTTCTTCTGCAGTGCTGAGGAAGGCCTCGAGTTCCCTAACTTCGACGGGAAGGACAGGGTGCTGGACATCAATGAGCGCAACTACAAGAAGGCTCTAAAGAGATACGACCTGCTGTGTCTGTTCTACCATGAACCAATGCCTGCCAACAAGGGCCTTCAGAAGCGGTTCCAGATGACAGAGCTGGTGCTGGAGGTGAGGAGGAGGGTGTACAGAGGTGGGAAGAGGGGAGCCAGAGAGTTAGTAGAGAGAAAGAAAATGCTGAGTGTAGAGTTAAAGTAAAATATATAGAGATCAGTGCTGATGTTCTTTCTTTATTATGGAATTTGAGTTAATTTCAATCAGGGGAAAAAAGCGTAATACCCTTTAATACCACTTTATTTTCCTTATTAAAGGTTGGTAAATCATTTTTTAATGCCTTTGACTTGTCAGGTTGTGAAAATCCCTTTGAAATGTGTGTAATAATGCAGTTATAAATGTTAGTAATGCATTAATACTTAGTGGTTTGTCAATTTTCAAACGCCAACAGGTCTGCAGTTGTAAATGTATGTACTATACAAACGGTAAAAACTATCAAAAACATAGAAAGCTAACAGCATTTAGCTCGAAACATTGGCAATTTTCAACTAACTACATCCCTTTAAATCCTAATTTCCATCAGGTATTTAACACCTGAACCCTGCTGAGAAGACGTCATTACTGATCAAAGATGGATGTGTTATGACATAGTATGCCCTGATATATCTGATGCTACTGGTAACATAAAAATGTCTCAATAGGCTGAAGCCCAAATCCCCGCGGGTTACACTTGCAGCCTTTTCGCCGTGCTCATTTGTCTCAAACCTGTCATAACAAGTCATTGTATAGTCAGTGATCCCTCCCCTGGCTGGAGAACCTGACAGTGAATGCCTCATTCTTCCTCTGCCACCTTGACGTGTCGACTGTCTGCTTAAAAATAAAGGGAGGAAGGATTCACAGCTGTCACACATGCTTTACCTGCACGCTCTTTTAACTGGCAGGCAGTGATTTTAATCCCATTATGTGCCCTCCTCTGTGGTTCACATGTATCCAGGGATTGTTTCTAGGTCATTCTGTTAATAGCTTGTTCCCAAAACTCTTCACTATCGGGCTGTGAACTAGAAATAAGTCGATGTATTCTTGCATCTCTTCCCTTCTTATTTATGATCCATGTTTCAGATGTCACTTTTACATTCCTGTCATGTTTCATGCTTTTAAAACACAAACACATTCAAATAGAGCCAAAGTATCTTCTCCTCAGTGGTACTTCGAAATCTGTTGTCCTTACTCAAACTGAAAGGTGAGCAGTCCTGACTCACAGCTTCCCCCTAACAAGAATACTCCACAGGGGACTCTCAGCACACACGCACCTCTGTAATGAAAAGATTTATTGATGAAGACAGTAGCAGCTGTGGATGCCGGCTCAAATACACAGCATAGAAAGTGCCATGCAGAGTAGAAGGTGTTTCGATCCCAGGCTGATCCTTAAAGGCTCTATTTCAATCAATTAATCAATTTTATTTATAAAGCCCAATATCACAAATCACAATTTGTCTCACAGGGCTTTACAGCATACAACATCCCTCTGTCCTTAGGACCCTCACAGTGGATAAGGAAAAACTCCCCCCCAACAAAACCTTATTTAACAGTTAAGGTGTTTTCGGTCTTTTTTGAAGATGAGACGGTCATAAACAGGGCTGTAGCCGGGATTTTAGAAATACTGAAGTCTTGATTTCCCGGATATTTTATCTTCCTGCATCAGGGGCTCCGAAGCATTTCACTTTATGACAAATTGGGACCCCTTGTCATCACATTTCACACAAAAAACAACAACTACAGAAATGTCAGAAATATCATCCTGCAACCGCAAAGGTTTGTCCCACGCAGCCCAGCCACCAGAGGAAAATGTTGTCACTTACATTGGCATTTACTGCTAATACATTACATTTGTAAGATTCATGCACATCAACATTTCTAAAGTGAGGCAGTACAGGAGCTGATTTGGTGGAGGGGATGGTGGATGTCATGACACCTTGTGAAACAGCTGCTACCAAACTGCAGACAATTGTTCAAGGCCAGGTTGTTTTTCACTGACCCTTTCCACATTTCCAACAGCGTTTGCAGAACCAAATCTGTGTGTTTTTTACCAACACATTGCTGCATCTCCAACAGTGTTTCAGCCACTGAACCTGGTTGTTTTTCACCAACCTGTCCGTACTTTTCAAGCAGGTTTTGTGCCCTAAACGTGGAGATTTTAATCTAAAATATAATCTTTTCCTAACTATAACCAAGTGGTTTTTGTGCCTAAACCTAACCACACCTCCACCACTGAGTTGTTGAGAAATCTACAGTTTCAATGTGTCTGCTACAAAATAATGTTCAAATGTAACATATCTGTGGTTTACAGAAACATACAATGCAAACCTTTTTTCTTGGGGATGTCCTGTGACCCCTGCATGGGTTACAGCCCCCCACAATGGGAACCACTGCCCTATGATTGTCCAAGTCCATACTATGAGGAATAAATCTATGGAAGAAGTAATACCCACTAACCCCCTTTACAGTCCTCAATTGAAATGATTTCTTCCCCCAGCAACAGCATAGGCTGAAAAATACAATATATTCAGCAGAAAGATATTGAACAAATACAATTTTAAAAAGTAAAATAATGTGTGTTTAGATGGATCGAATAGCCCTGCTCCTCCTTTGTAATTAAAGCCTCCGATTCATATATCTGACAAAAATAATCATATTGACTCATACTTAATTTAGCCACCACGAATCACTATGAAGAAGAAGGCAATTTATATAGCAGGTTTCATACACAGCTTTGGTTCAGGGGGCTTTTCAGATTGCATAAAAAAGAAAGATGAATTAAGAATCAAGGCTGATGCTATTGAGTCTATAGCTTCATACAGTATGCCTATACACAGTGGTGCTTTAAGCTAAATGTTACGTCAGCATGCTAACATGCTAACAATGAAATAGTGAATATGCTGATGTTAAGCAAATGTAATGTTTATCATGTAAGCATTTGCTACTTAGCACTGAGCATAGTTTAGATTTGTATCATTTGGACAAAGATTAAGATCCTCAGGGAAGTTGTTCAGAGTATGTGTAGTAAGGTGCGTAAATGTGATGTGACCCTAGTAGCAGTTAGCGGTCAGCAGGCCCAAGTCAAAAAAACTCCTCTAGAAGGTTTATATGCATGTCAGAAATGTAATCTGGTCCTCGCCCACGGTGTTATTTGTAGACCAGCAGCAGTATTTTAAATGTTTTTGAACAAGTTGTAACTTTCTTTGGTTGACCTGAGAACACTGTTACATGATCTGTTTTAGATTAATGTGTTTACCAACCTTTTAACATCTTATTTTAACACGAGTCCTCTTGTTCCAGCAATATTCTAGGTGATATCCTGATTTTAATATGCTGCTAAAATGTAAATCTGAGTCCAAAAACACCCACAATTCTGGCCTGACTCACAGTTTTTACAGCCTATAGAGATAAGGTGTGATAATTTCCTGTCTTTGTTTGGCTAATAAGACAATCCAGGCACATCTCGTCAGTCAGGTGTTTGATGCACTGACAAAAAAGTCTTTTGCTGACTGACATTCTCTCTATGAACACCCAGCTCACAGCTCAGGTCCTGGAGAACAAAGACATCGGTTTTGGGATGGTGGACGCACAGAAGGACGCCAAAGTAGCCAAAAAACTGGGTATGACTCATATCTTCATCATTCCACAGTCGCCAAACACAGTATCACTTCCAATACTGTGCATGCTGAATGCCTAAATTTGGATTATACTTTTATGGTTGGTTATTTTTTCTGCAAAATCTCCTCTTATACTTTCTTTGTATGACTTTGCTTTCCCCATATGCTCCTTGCCAGTAATTTTCTTTAATTATAATGGCAATAGTGTCTTTGCTACTTTTCTCTAAACGTGAGACCTTAAATTTTTTCCCATACACTATACTCTTGCTGTTCAATTAGGTCTGGAGGAAGTGGGCAGCTTGTACGTCTTCAAGGACGACCGTGTCATTGAGTTTGATGGGGAGCTCTCAGCAGACACACTGGTGGAGTTTCTATTGGATGTGAGTGGAAAATCTGATTCTGCTCTTTTTTAAATGTATAATCTGTGCAGCCAATTAACAGCTGCAGCCTCATTAGAATATGTGTAAATGATGTGTTTCATAGCAAAACAAGATCCAGCAGGAGTAGCTTTCATGTCACTTTCCCCTGAAGGTATTTCTTATTAAAGTGACATTTGGGGAAATAGAGTTGCAAAGTGAGAGGGGACGCTGGTTCTGGAAGTTTTTATCCCCATGCCCATTTGAAAAGAAATGCAGGACTCTCCGGGATAATATCACAATTTTATAAGTTTGTGCCACCAGTTTGGTTCACAAATACTACCCAATATTATTACCCAATAATACCCACGAGCCTTAGTCACAGTTGCTATGTAGAAGGGAGACCAGTCAGAAGCATGAATCCAGGGCCCCAGGAAGTGGGCCAGACTTTGAAGCCAATTTTACATAGTGGCCAAACCATGTAACTGCAGCTTGCAGGTCTGTCACATGATGCCATTGAGCCCAGAAAATCTTTTTCCCATAGACTTACATTGTGAAAGAGATATCTGTAAATCAGTGGATAGATTTTGTTTGAGTGTCACAACCCCCACAAAATGACTCATTTCACCATCTGTATTTGGCCCATTCAGTCCGATTACATTGCAAAAGTCTCGAAAAGCCACACAATTAAATCATTTTATCACAATTCATGTTGGCAGAGGGCTAAATCAGAAGTAGCTAGCTCAGCCGGGGGAGAGTCTCTAGCGCCTACTCTATGGGCAAAACGATGCAGACAGTCCAGGTAATTTCACACCCAGCAAGTCAAACAGCTTTGGCTTCATGTGCCACAAAGCAGCTTCTTTGGTATTAACATGGCCCTGCCTCCAGTGCTGTATCCAGTTCTCTGTATACATCCATGAATCGGAGGCATAAATTAGACATGAAGCTGGAGAGAATTCAAAACACTTTGTTGATGCAGTTGTAAATGAATAGTTGCTGAATTCATTAAAAATTCCTCCAGAATTTAAAAGTATATTGATTTCAACTGCAAATTGTGATTTTGGTTTTCTTAGCACAACAAATGTTAGCTTCTGCCTCATGGATGAATAAAGAGAACTGGATACAGCGTTGGCCCTGTACATTACTATGAAAGTTGCTCAGTGACACCCCAAGGTATAAAATTACCTGGACCTGTTGCATTGTGGGTCCTGCTGAGCAAGGGCACAAGAGACTTAAGACAGCCAAGAAGCTAAGTTCAAATTTAGCCCTATGCTAACATGAATGTGGATACAAATAGAGTGTTATCAGAGTGAATGGATCCAATTCTGATAGTGAACCAGTCATTCCAGGGGGATGTGATGCTCAAAAAATGTATCCAGGGGTTTTATTCACCCAAAAAAATGCAAAAAAATGTTTTACAAAAGATATAACAAAGTTTTGGGACCATAAAAGAGGTCAATGTAACAGAACTTAACTCAGGAAATACAAACTCAATGTAAAGTGTGTTAACCAACAAAGTAACTGTCCAACAAAAGACAAAACAGACCTACTAAACACATACAAAAGGGCACATATATAATGGCTGATCAGACCATTCTAAACAAAAAGGGGGTAACATACAAACACTAAACACTATTAACTAAATTACAAACAAAACAAAAAAGGGGCAATTAGATTGTCAGTATAAATATATTCAACTACTAACCTAACAAAATGAATCAATAAACTAATACAATCTAAAGCAATAATAAACTCTTTAAACTAAACCCCCAAATCAACCCCATGATGTGGCAGGCACTTGGTTTGGCCCAGTTGGTCACTTTCTCCATTTAATGGCTGTGCATGAACATTTCATGGCAATAAAAATAACTTACCTGTATTATTCTGCCCCCTATAGGTGCTGGAGGACCCAGTGGAAATGCTCAATAACGCCATGGAGCTGCGAGCCTTCGAGAGGATGGAGGAAGACATCCGCCTCATTGGCTACTTTAAGGGAGAAGATTCATGTTAGTTCACCACCAAACTCATGCTAGCATCTGTGTTTAGTGTTGAATGCATCTGTGTTTACATTCACAAACATAAGGAGTGTGTGATGGGTTAAAATACACAACACTGTGTCTCTGTCCCCTGAAGTTGCCTCACTGTATTCCCCAGATGCTAATGGGATCTAGAGGCTAATGGAGCTACATCGCCATGCTAAAGGGAAACCTGATTCCAGACTGTGGCACTGTCACTCAGTCTCACGGGAGCCTTTAAATAGCTTCTAGTTCTCTTTGTCTAATAGGTCAAACTGCAATTATAGTTCCTCTCAAAAAAAGGGAGAAAAAGTGAGACAGGGAAGATGCTATCTGGTCCAATATGACGGTGGCATGAAGTTTCATCATGGAGCCTATTTCTGTCCAGAGATAGGTTGGTCCTTGGTTGTGACCTTGTTGGGAGCCGAGCCAGAAGCGCGTTACAAGCGTATAAAACTGTATTAAGGCAGACTTTGTTACTGGGGTGGAGACAGTAGAATCATGATGGGAAATTGAATGAAGCGAGTGTGTTTCACTGCTTGCCTTCCTGATCACATACTGTAGATTGGGGCTGGGGGGTGTGAGCAGAATGTGAATGATTAAGTTCAACACTTAAATCTGTTTTACTTTCTCAACTTAGGTTTCTGCCATTCTTACTTGAGTTCTTCATCACTCTCTCTCTCTCTCTCTCTCTGTCTCCTTTTGTCTCAGACTACAAAGCTTTTCAGGAAGCCTCCGAGCGTTTTCAACCTTACATCAAGTTCTTTGCTACATTTGATAAATCTGTAAGTTTGGATTTGATTTTGATTCTTCTCACATACACGTCGCTCATTAATACACTATGTAATAGTTTGACATTTTGGGAAATATAAATGTAACATTATCCTCATAGCACCTCTAAAGCTCACTTATTGACACTTTATTTCTTGTTTGTTTAATTCATACAAAAAGTGAAGCGTAACAACTACAGGTTGTGGTTATGACGGACTATTTTTTGGCTGGAAGAATGGATGAGTTACTGAATGGGCACACTCGACACAGGCTCAGGTGCCTCAAATGACCACCAAGAGACACAAAACGACCTCAAACAGACACAAATCAATCTCAAAGAGACACAATATGACCACAAAGAGACACAAAAGAATCTCAAAGAGACACAAAGTGAACAACAAGAGACATAAAACAACCACTAAAAGACCTCAGAGACACAAAACAACCTCAAAGAGACACAAACGAGCACAAAGCGACACAAAAACATCACACAGTGACATAAAACAACCACAAAGACACACAAATTACTCCAAATTGACACAAAACTACTACAAAAAGATAGCCTGGAAATCCAGACTCAACTCTAGAAAGATTGTGAATCTGGCCCTCACCGATACACCCTTCCTACCCAAGGACTAACTGAGGCATTTCAAATGCCACCGCACGCAATTGGATAGCACGATGGCCAATCAGAGCAAAAAACAAGGTGACGTATTCATTGCACTAAGCCCCATTTGTTTGCCGAACAATGGGGCTAACTGATATATTATGCTTTTGCCGTATCCCGTCGGCAAAACAGCAAAAACGTCCTTCCTGGAAACGAAGGCTTCTCGGGACATCTGGATATCCTGGTTAACAAAAAGATGCAAATCGACTACAAACAACAACTCGACATCCTTTTTAAGTCTCTGAGATTCTTGAGTTCTGGTCCAGCAGTAAAAAAAAAAGTTAGTAGTTGTAGTCATTTTGTGTCTCTTTCAGTGTGGAGGTCTTGCTTTGATGTAACAGGGGTTGGGGGGCCTTTTACATGTCTGTGCCCAGGGGCCCATTGCCTCATAATCCGTCCATGGCCAGAAGTAGTGACTTCCTGGAGTCTTGTGCCACCATAGCTTGTGAATTATTGATTTTTAGCAGTGCTGGTAAAGCCAAGCTTGCAGGTTCCCTGTGTTTCCAATCTATACACGAAGCTAAGATAAGCTGAGCTGAGCTAATGGTAGCTTTATATTAAGTGTACAGTAAATATGAATTGGTATCTTCTCATTTAACTGTAAGAAAAAGAAGGTGGATAAGCCTATTTTAAGCTATATTTAAATGAATAGCAACTGTTTGTTCAATGAGTTCATCCACTCATTAAACAAAACCCCATAATTGTATCTTCCTATCAGCTTATCATTATAAATCTTGGTATGTTTTAGGTAGCCAAACATCTCTCCCTCAAGATGAACGAGGTGAATTTTTATGAGCCGTTCATGGAGGAGCCGGCCATCCTGCCTGGCAGACCTCTGTCAGAGATGGACATTGTTGAGTTTGTCACCCAACACAGAAGGTTGATTAGATTTCTGTCTTATGAGTGTAATTTCATTGCTGATAAACCTAGCTGAGCATTTGATAAGAATGTGCTCTTTACAGGGCTACTCTGAGGAAACTGCGGGCAGAGAATATGTTTGAAACATGGGTGAGTAGCTGTTCAGTTTTACCATGAGAGACAGAGTTGGCTCCCCACACTATTTTCTATACATTTTCGTGGGATTGTCTTGAGATGATTTGAGGTGTTTTAATACTCAGCTGTTCAATTTCTAGGAGGACGACATGGATGGAATACATATTGTTGCTTTTGCTGAGGAGGAGGATCCAGGTCTGGGAGTTTTTCCTTTTGGTTTCACATTTTTCCTGTAGCAAGTAAAGGAGGTGTGCTCAGGTTCTTCTGTTCTGTCCTCAAGATGGCTATGAGTTCCTGGAGATCCTGAAAGACGTGGCCAGAGACAACACCAACAACCCAGAGCTCAGCATCGTCTGGATCGACCCTGATGACTTTCCTCTGGTTCTGCCACATCATTTGCCTTATATTAATATATAATAATAAACAGTATCAAAAATTTGGACACTGATAGTCTAAGTTAACCTGGTCTGTCTCATCCCTGCAGCTCACCACTTACTGGGAAAAAACCTTCAAGTTGGACCTGTTTAGACCTCAGATTGGAGTGGTCAACGTCACAGATGTAAGTTATTGTTCAAATCCATGCATTTCAAATGCTGGGGTCTGTGGAGATTGACTCGCTCCTGGAGCCAGCCTCAAGTGGCCATTAGAGGAACTGCAGTTTTCAGCACTCCCATGTTGGTTTCATTTTTCAGCCCTGGAGGTTGCTATCTGTACTGTACCAAAGTATTTATTAACCCTTATCTTGACTTTCCTGGTGTTCCAGGCTGACAGTGTGTGGCTGGACATGTCCAATGACGAGGACCTGCCCACCGCGGAGGAGCTGGAGGACTGGATAGAAGACGTCCTGTCTGGCAGGGTGAACACGGAGGATGACGATGAGTCTGCTGACGACAAGGAAAACCTTGACGGCTATGTGCCAGAAGACAGTTACGAAAGTCACGACCCAGATGAGGAAGATGACAGCGATGACTAACCTTAATGTCAAGGGTTGGTGTGCTGCAGTTCAGACCTGTGTCAAAACCCTGAACACACTTGGCACATTAGAACCAGATTACTGACATATTCTCTCTTTTTTTCCCAAATAATTTAAAAAAGTGAAATTAAAAGAAACTATATGGTCTCCTACACAGTTCTACACTGTGTAGACAGTGGTTTAAATAGTCAGGCAGATAAAACAGAACTGATTAAAGGTCATCATGGGAAACCTGTGGCCTAGTTTATAATAATGTTAGCACAGTGCCTGAAGCAGTAATTCTCCTGTACTTACCAAGGATCAAGATATCAGCATAGCTTCTGTGTGGCATACACAACATGTAAGTTAAAGCTCCATTGATAGATTTTGGCCATGTGGGGGCAGCATAATAAACTGTAAACACTGCATATCACCATGGATTTTATAAAGACAACCGGATAAAGTGCTGAAGGCAGGGCCCAATTTGTTACTAAGAAAGCTGATCAGTGGCTCATGAAGCCAAAAAAAAAGTTTGACTTTCCAGATATAAAATTACCTGGATCTTCTGCACCGTCGGCCCCATTGAGCAGACTACAGGCTTTGCAAGCTCAGTGACTCACTGCCGCCGTCCAACCGGCTAACTTACTGTTTGGCACTACACTAACTTAAATGGGGATAAAATAATTTAATAGTGCACCTCCTCTAGACTTTCAAAATGTTATTGGACTAAATGGATCAATTCCCGATACTGCAATGAGTGATTTTGCAGTGATTTACAGATGCTTTTTCCCCATTGTAAGTCAATGAGGAAAGGTCTTTTTGGGCCCAATGGTATCATGTGACAGACCAAGCATTTGTAATTCCACTGTTTTGCCACTACAAAAAATCACAGTCCTGTGCACCTCTGGGTGCCTGATTATCACCCATTAAGTTGGTATGGCTAACATGTTAGCAAACAGTTTCCTATTTATGCATCCAGCAGACATGGAGCAACGTTAGTTTTCAAGTAGAATGAAATTTTGAATGTTAGTCCAATATCCACTCACCTGTTAGCTCTGTTTTGGTCTCCACCAACTACTAAGTGAAATATCTGTCTCTGTAGTTGCTAAATGTTTCATTATTTTGAGCAGCTAACTTTGCCAATCTGCTGTTTGGTGCTGAACAGGTAGCGTACAGTTGGTTTTTAGAGCTTTTAACAAATACAAACAATGCTAATGTGAGCTGTGAGTGGATGAAAACATCAAAGCTGCGAGCCAAGAAACCAAAACAATGACCTGAAAGACACAAAAATGCTCTGTAAAGGCCCAAACACACCAAACCGACATCAAAGAACTTGTGGAAACAAAGGCAGACTGTTGCGTCGCCTCATGCCGCTCACGTCTTAGCTAAAAAGTTGTGCTTGAACACACTGCAAAGACTACAGCCAACGGCCAGTTAGCACTTACATTCTACATCTGTGTGAAAGAAAATGACTCTCAGCAGGCGGCGAAGGTCTGTATTTGTCATTCAAAAAGGGAAATAATAAGACGGAACATACTTGACACGCTCAGCACATCAACAACACAACCTGATGTTGAAAGAAGAAATTATATTTCTCAGTTACAAACCGTATATGTCAAAGAGCTCAATGGCTAAAAAAGATTCTTGATATAACATGTTAAATCACTAGCCCTCTGCTTAAGTTGTATGTTTGCCTTTGTCATTTCCATCTCTCTGCTTGTGCTCTGAGCTGAACTGTCAATCAGAGTGATTTCATTTACCGATGGGCTCCACTGGCTCCAACGTCAAGGGAACAAGGACCGACTATTGCCAATGGTGCAGGACACATCGCAAAAACTAGGGCAACAGATGCCCACAATGGCCTAACATTTACCGATGCACATACGATCTTTGGCTTGGTGTGTCAGAGCGCTTAAACTGAGAGGAACTACAAAGTCAGATTATAAATTTTAGCGAGTCTGTCACTATAAGTGGCATCTATCACGTTACGCATATTAATATAAAATATTGATTATACAGCTTTAAGGTTGACATTTATGATTAGACAGTTAAGAGGAACTGTGTGTCTACGTATCTGAAAATAAATGACAAATGATTTGGTTCTTCAACATAGAACAGTGCTTCTATTGTTTTCTTGGTATTAATGCATTGCATAATAAAAGTACACTATGACAATGTGCACGTCTTTTAATTTGAACCATCTCGGCTGTTTTTGAAGTATGTGTGTGTGAGAACACACACTTCAGTACTCTCCCTCATTAGGAAAGTCCAGACTGACGCTCAAGACAGCAGATTGGCACATTTTCCCTCAGTCAATGAGCGTTTTCACCTTGAATTATTCAGACATTGGTGAATAATTCAGCATCATTATGCCTCCTAATGGGAGAAGGAACATGGTCAATGAGGCTGATGGAGTTGGGGTGAGACAAGCTAAAAGGCTGCCCACCAGGGCCCCACAAACTGCATAAGGAGCGGACACACTCCTGCTGGACATGAATTAATAATACAGGGCCATGCAAGAATCATTATTCCCCCGGAGGTGGATGTGATGCAGTGTGTAAACAGGATGTTTGTATCATGTTTTGGGATTTACACATAATCCATGCAGCCATATCTGAGAGATGAGAACATTCAACTGAGTGTGTGCATTTAAACGTGACCCGAGGCAAGAAGACATGTCATATTCTCTCCTGAGGAAAGGGAAGCAGACAGTGTCATGGAGCAAGTGTTGTGATGTTCTGCAGGGCCTTTAGGTTACGTAATCCTGTGAATGTCAAGTGTGATGGTGTTTAACATGGACGTTGACTAAAAGGAGGGCAGGAAGACTCAATGTTCATACACACACCACCTCACTCCCAAGAGAGGAAGGATGACAGCAGCATGGGTGTGAGGGTCTAACAGGTTCAGTATATAACACAGCAAAGAACAAAGGAAAGACAGCAGTACGATGTGTTATGTTGTAGATTTCTGTTCAAAACTGAAGCTGCTAGAAGCTAGACGGATTTCCGCTCACGCCTCCATCTGCACATAACCAAGCCATTACCGAACAAATACAGAGGGAGGAATGAAGGGAAGAAAAACATTCCATTTAGATGCAAATGCTCCTCATTTTCCTCTCTCTCCATCTCTCTCCTCCTCGTCCCGGTCCTGCACAGAGCAGGGAGGGGGATTAAGCCGGGGACAGATGAGTTCCGACAGGCGGCCTCGTGCCCCGAGCTCGCAGAGGTATGAGGTTGTTTGTTTTCAGCACCGGACACCGACACTGACATTCATTTACCCACAAGGTCCGACTGCGCTGCTCTGACAGGCTGATAGCAAGCCAATTACCACTGAGCTTCATGACAACGAAAAGCCACCAAATCAAGGCCAAAAAAGCTGAAATTTTGCTCTGGTGTGTCACACAGCGGGGCCAGATGCCTAATGGGCAGCGACAGAGAGGAATGTTAGCAAGACTGCGGCCAGGGCAGAAACTAGTGCATATGGAGATACTGAGGAGTAAGTCTGGAAGAATAGGAGAAAGGTAATGAAAGACAGTGTACATTTGAAACCGTGATAGCACAATTTAGGAATAAATTGCTATGCAGTTTGATCGTAGGGACGAATCTAAACCACCAGTGATAAACGTTTCAACTGAAGCCTAGAATAGCTGTGGTCACAAAAATCTGATTTTCTTTGTCATCATATTATAAAAATATAATTTCAAGGTGTTTAAAAGGGGTAAACCACCTTAAATTGACAAAACAATTTTACACGTACACCTTAAGTTGTATCAAAAAAGACAAACTCAGGGATTCATCCCAAACATGGAGATAATTAATGGCTTAATTAATAGAACTTGCAGCATGTAAAGATAGTTATATTGGGCTATAAGCACAGGTTAAAGGGTAACTTTGTATTTTTCAACTTGGACCCTGTTATCCCACAATTTTGTGTCCAAATGACTAATCGGAACAGGTAATTTGAAATTGGTCCATCACTGAGAGAGAGCACTGCAGCCACAACTGGCAAGACAGGCTGCAATATAACCCCTGCGGGCAATTGTGCGCTCTCAGTTTATGTCCACTAAAAGTGCTTGTTTTTGCCACTGACAGGCTCAGAGTGTAACTGTGAGTGTCTGACAACATTATGGAAAGGATCCCTGCAGAGAAATATTTCTGTCTAAGAGTAGGATCCTTGTTGTTGAAGCAAAAATAGCCCTGAAAACACGATCATCAAACCCACCAGACTCTATTTAAAAAAAGGAGTAATTCTATCATCATAAAACACACTTCATTCAAAGTCAACAGAAGTAAAATACAACTCACAAAAACTGTCTTTCCACTGTTCCAACAATCACCAACTCTAGTGTGGTTGAAATAAACCCTTAATTCAACCACTTGGATGTGAAAATGTGCTGACTCTATACACTCTTAAATTACTGTTTATTTAAATGGAGGCTGGTGTGATTGGTGATGGTGATTTAAGGACACTTTCTGGGTAAAAAAAAAGGATCTTACTCTCAAACAAAAAGGTCTATCTCTGTAGGGATCATTTCCATAATGTTCAGACACTGCGGCCTTTTTCGCTGCTGCTGTCTGCAGTGATCTCACTCAATACTGGACCAGTTCAAAAAAATGTTGTTTGAATTAGACATTTGGACAATACATGAGAAAATAGGGTTGGAAAATACTGAGATTAACCATAAAGGGGTTTAAAGGGGTCAAAACCACTTAACAGGGATAAAAACTGACCAGAACTAGGACATGAAAATAGCACCATATAATCCATTAGATATACCTTAATATATTATAATCCATCAATTAATTAATTAAATTAATATATACCTTTACAACCATGTTACAAACACCCTGACTACAATCATTTAAGGTAAAGAATTCAGCAGAGAAAATCAAAAGTTTTGATTAGTCCCTTTTATCCAAGTTTGGTAACTAAAACCACAACCATACTAACCAGCCATGTTTAATTAAAGAACTTCCTGCTCCTTCTGAGGACTGAAAAGCATTCTGGGATATGTAGGAAATCACAAATGAATGTAAAAATCAAAAACCAAGCCATCAAACTCAGTTTTACAGCACAACACAATCCCATACAACAGTTTTACAAATGTTCATAAAAATGTTTATTTTTTTACGAATACTAATGCTGTGAAACTGAAACATGTCTTACATTGCAATGTCACGTCGTCATAGAGCTGTCCAACCAAAACCTAACCATGACAGAGGAGTGTAACCTGGCAACAGCATGACAGATGGTGGTGATGTTGGGGGGGGGGGCTGATAATGTGAACTGGAATGGCATACATACACACATACATACACACATGCTTGTTTACATAAATAGATACAGTGTAAAAACAGGAGGCACAGTCACATTGGGATCATACAAAGTTTATCTGTCAGTAGGTACAAATTGTGACCAGTGGCAGCTGTTCTAAAAAAAAATGTCTGCCGTTTGCAGGAAACAGCAGGAGTGTTTTTTTCTTCCCGGGTTGTTGAACAGTTAGTTTACAGCAAAAATGAAAAATGTTTTATATGAAACATGTTGCTGCTGCCCTCAGGTAGACAAACCGACAGTATCAGGTTTACCAGCCAGGGGGCAGCAGGGGACAACCCTGCTCATAGAGGATATTCTCAGTATGACATATTTCTCTTTTTGAGTGAGTTACACATGAGCTCAGTGTGACTCTTTAACCACTTTGGTGAATACACCGAGTGTGATCTAACAGTGTCATTTTAGTGCCATTAGCTTCATTTAACTGTAATTTTCTGGCTTCACGAGATTCATGATTCATCAGGTGACAGAATTAATTAGAAAAGATCCCTTCTGACCTCGAGGGATTCACTGTGAGCATGTTTGTCAGACAACAGAGGTGGGACAAGGTAGAAAAGGAAAACCAGACGGTCCAGTCAAGAGGGAGGTTCCGCCCTGCTGCAGCTCTCACTGTCGATACAAACTCTGTTGGTTCTTCATCATCTCTTGTGTATTCTAGTTACACAAGCAAACCCTGTGAGCCCTGGGAGATTAAATTATAATTTATATACCATAAATTCTCAAATAGTGGCAGAAAGACACATCTATCCTGGTGTCTTGATCAATTGAGTAAAACGTCCATATCCACTGCACTAATATCAGTATGAAGTCTCGTCACCTGTTCTTCTTTGCCTCAAAACAATGTAAAATGAAATGTAGATTCTGCTGCAAGGGGTCTCTCAAACAAAACAGTAACAAAAGACATGACATGACTCGGTTGTACTGATAGAATTAGTGCTGTGGAAATGAACACTGTACTAAATTTATCATGTGAGCTGTTGCAGTAGCCTTTACCTGCTCATGCAAAGCTTACTTGAACGCCAGCTTTTAAATGAGAATTTACAGTGTTTAGATTTTCTGCAATGTAGTAATCAGTAGTACTTTTTATTTGTGACATCATGGCTCTGTCTCTCCGCCTCGCTGCCTTCCCCTTCCACAGTGTCAGGCAGATACGGCAGACATGAAAGCCCTGAGAAGGTTACTGAACCGATGAGGCAGGGCAAATGTTTCTGAGCATGCATCCACCTCTTATGCTCCGGATCATTGGGAGTTCACCCCATGTTTAACATGGCATGAGTGTGTTGTTCCCAACTGGAGTGGAAATATTTCTGATTTCGCTCTGTTGCACCTGGAAATGAATTGTGCACCAACACAGCTCAAAACATCCCACTTTGGCTGATAGAATAAGCACTGCAGGGTGCTACTGTACGTACGCCCAAGGCAGGACATGAGGCGGGTCAGAGTTTGACATCTTAACTGTCAAGAAAAGTGTTTGTCCGGAGCTCTGCAGGTGCCCTGAAGACGTGATGACAAGAGTATAGGGGAGGAAATCCTTTCAGAGCAGGCTGAAATCATGTGTTCCATCTATTCAGGCATATTCTTCCCATTTATGAACACACATAAATGTGCACTGAATGCAAAGTCTGACTATAGTGTTCTTGTCGAATGCATTTAATTCTGCTTTTGAGAATCTGTTGACGTCCAAAAGAGCATCCAGATATTTTCAAATGTTGTAGACGAGACATCAGCACAGGGAGGATATGTGTCATGTGTTTCCATGAGGCTTCAAATGTCTAAATCCAAGTCACACCATTGTAGTCCTTAGTGGTTTGGCTGTCTGTCCGTCTGTCCCACGGAAATCAAGGACCGACTGAGACAACAGAGTCTCCTCAGAACCTCAACTGTTCCCGTCTTGTTTGGCTCCAGCATCTCAAACAGGAAAAGGAACAAGTGATTGTGTTCACACAAAATGACACGCGCGTACACACACACAAACATTCACTCACACATACTGCATGTGCACACAACCATGTCCAAGAGCTCAATTCTTTCTTTTGATTTCATCCAAATCAAACATAAGAAGATCAATATATTCAAACATGAGTGTAATATATAGATTCATATATAATATATAAAAATTCCAAAAAAGTACAAATAAAAACTGCAAACCCAAAATGAAAACATTTGAGAGCAACAAAACAGGGTGAGGAGTAAAAAAACAAAAAAGTTTGGAGTCCTACACGGAGGTTTCGGACTGTAGCCGCAGGACGAACTTGTGTGACTTGGGGTCGATGTATTCCTCTGACATCTGGATATAAGGGATCTTCTTTGTCGTCACCACCAGGCTGAAGTCCACACACTTGAGAAGAAAGATGGTGCCATCTTTCAGGCCGCTGGTGACTGACGCCTCGCTAATCAGCGTCCACTGACGGGCCAGCCAATGGTCCCGGCTATACTGCAGGGTGGGGCCTGGGGTCAGGTAGCTCTCCAGGAACGCCTGCATGGAAGAGATACAGACAGACACACTTTCATTATATCCGAGAGGAAGAAAAAGTCAGATCATGTAGTATTGAATTGAATACATTTGGTAAGACGTCTGACCTTTGGCGTCATGTTGTTGGTGATGCAGAAGGCCAGGTGCTGCTGGATGCTCTCCATGCTGTGGCAGTGCTGCTGCTTGGTGGTCCTCAGGTACTTCTGCAGGGCGCGGGCCATGGATGGGAAGATGGCTTGTGCTGCCTCTCGAGGGTCCATCACATCCCCTGGGGCCTTCTTCTGCTCCTCCTCCTGCATGCGCTTGATATGTGTGAACGCCTCCTCTACTGCCACCACCAGTCTGGGAGGAAACACAGCAAACAAAGTTAGGCCTGTCACAGTGAATACTTTATCGACTTATCTTACGATATGACATAACTCAAACACGGCAATTTTACACCCCTTGAAATATTCCTCCACAAATGTCTGAAGTAATTCTAGAACTCCTGCATGAATTACCGTGCTTTGCGCTTGCGAACACGCCTCTCGTGCTCTGCCTCCTCGTAGTACAGGTCATTGTGGCTGGTGTCTCTGCGACGAGCAGCGGCTGCAATCATGGCTCTGGACTGAGAGTGGGCCAGTCCTGCTGCTGCATTGTTCCCTGGGCCTGTCATGTCAAATAAATAAATCAGGAAGGGTTACTATATGTGTGTGTGTGTGTCTTCATCTCACAATTCAAGCCTTAGAGAAGGTAAAGGAACGAAGCAATCCTTGGTGATGACATAAAGTGCAATGTGATTTTAGAGTGGAGGGACAGATTATTGATGCACATAAACCACGGTCCATTTGTTTTTATCACCAGCAATAATAAAACCACGGGAGCTGACGTGAACAGCCACACAGAGTCGTAACTTTTAATTATTCCGAGCACTGTGATCATTGGAAAATCTCAAAAACACACTGCTCACCCACACACGGCTATTGATATTCAAACATTCCCTTTGCTCTGCCACTCAGTGCCTTCAGGAGGCACGGGGCATCCAATTAAAGAAGTGTCTCCGGCAACTTCAAAAGTTTACATTTTTGGGATTAGGATAGGAGGCTGCTGATGAACCCTGCCTGATGTTAATGCAGGTTAAAAGAAGGCAGAGCTGGTGAATTATTAATGCGGGGCAGGGATCGTGCATGAACAGAATAATTCATGGACAGAGAGGAGGGAGTTTCCAGCACACCCTGCCCGTGGTATTACTGCACTTAAGACGGGATTTACTGGTGAGATATATTATGCTGAAAGCCTCGTGTTGAATGTCAGGAGCAGGTAAACCTAGAATTTGTTTAACTACTTTTTGTACGGAAGATTTAAAAAGCCTAAATAAAAACAAATCAAACAAAGTAATAAAGTGAAATACAATCAGTTGTTTGGTCACCAAAAACTATACGCAAGCAAAAAGACTGTTGCTTTGTTACAACTTAGTTAAAGAATTAAACACGTGTATTTACAGTCAATTAGTGATGATGAGATCATCTTCTACATAAACACCTAGATGATCACCTACATATACATCAAGAAAATCTACATAAACACCTAGATGATCGCCTACATATACATCAAGAAAATCTACATATACACCTAGTAAATCTTCTACATATAGACCTAGAAAATCTACATATACAGTACAGGCCAAAAGTTTGGACACACCTTCTCATTCAATGCGTTTTCTTTATTTTCATGACTATTTACATTGTAGATTCTCACTGAAGGCATCAAAACTATGAATGAACACATGTGGAGTTATGTACTTAACAAAAAAAGGTGAAATAACTGAAAACATGTTTTATATTCTAGTTTCTTCAAAATAGCCACCCTTTGCTCTGATTACTGCTTTGCACACTCTTGGCATTCTCTCCATGAGCTTCAAGAGGTAGTCACCTGAAATGGTTT